ACGGAGGGTCCGCTGGGTTGCACAGAAGATGGGGCGACCAAGTGTGCTGGGATAAGGGCATGTCAGGAGGAGGGGACCTAGAGCCTGGCCTTTGGGCCAGTGATTTAATCCAGGAGTTCAAGCTCTCTGCTACACCAGTGCAGTGTGCCTCACCCGGTGGGCAGGAAGAATTCAGATGGCTTGAGGGAGCACTTGTAAGCTCACTCAGGACCCAGTGCTCGGCCTGTGGTCCTCCCAGAACAGAAGTCGATGCAAGATAGGTGGAGTAGAAAGGCCTTCGCATGCCTGTTGTGCGAGCCTGGCCTCACCCCCATTCACTTGGACCTGACTGAGGTCAAGTGGAGGCAGGCTTTGCCCTTGGAGTATGCGGCTTCCTCTCAGTGACCGTCTCAGTGCCGGTTGGGCACACGGGGTGGCTCTGCCTCCAGCTTACTCTGTGACATCAGCAAGTCACCTTCTGTCCTGGGTGTGGGTTTCCTGGTCTCTGCAGTGAAGGAGCTGGTGTGCACATTCTCAGGCTCTTCCAAGACAGGAGAGATAGCTGGTCGTGGTGGTGCGCATCTTTAATCCTAATATTTGGGAGGCTTAGGCAGGAAGATTGCTGTGAGTTTGAGGCCAGCCTGGGCTACAAAGTGAGTTGAAAGACTGAGCTGCGTGGTGAAACCCTCTCTCTCTCTCTCTCTCTCTCTCTCTCTCTCACACACACACACACACACACAAGGGCAGGAGAAATATGAACACTGTACTGATGGAGATTTTTTTCCTGTTCATGCTTTCAGAGTGCCAAGGGGACTCCGCTCCTTATGCTTCTCAAAGACCCTTATATCTTAGTGGCTGCAGGTAAGCTAGCAATGGTCTCCTTCCAGACTAGAAGAGTTTGGGCTTCAGGCAGCCACAGTGGCTCATAGAACCGTCTCTCTAGGTTCAATCTGCTTTGCCAACATGGGAGTGGCCATCCTGGAACCCACACTGCCAATCTGGATGATGCAGACCATGTGCTCCCCTGAGTGGCAGCTAGGTAAGTCACCTTGGCCCTCACCTTGGACCTGGGAAGAGGTAGTGCCATGGGCCATTTCTCAGGCAGTCAAGAGGCGTCACCAAACTCAGGTCATCCGCATCTCAGAGGGACAATCCGTCTCCTTTGTAGAATTACCTTCCATATGGGCAGCCATTCAGAGAAGCAGCCCAAGAAAGGCCAGGGCAAGCAGGTGGCAGGAGCTGTACCTAGCTGTATGGTAAAGTGATTAAAATTTTTGAAAGACCTAGGATTTTGTTTTAGGTCCCTGGATTAGTGATGGAAATTTGTGCAAATTACTTCTCTCATTTCTGAAATGGCATCAATCACCATCTAGTTCAAAGAGAAATTGGAGGAATAAATGGCAGTGGGTGTAGAAATAAATGCTTTGTACACACATAGTAATGCTGCACATTATTACTACCATCCATGCGAATTATAGGAATGAGTGGCATAAGGTGTGGGCATGCTTTGCACCACATGCACTATGAATTACTGGTGCCATCCAGTAATTTATTCTCTTCCACGTCCCCTACCTTTTTGCTGCCTTTTCACCTCTAGAAAGGTTGTGGTGGAAGAAACACTGTAGCTCTCACCTAGGGAGGATGCTGAGCTCTGTACCCTGTGGAAACCTCTACCCAGACGGAGGGCTCCAGCCTCTGTGCTGGAGCCTCAGGGGTCACCTGAGCTTAGAGAAAAAGCTGCAGCCCCTTCCGGAAGTCTGAGCAAGGGGCTGGAGGAGGCTACGTGCAAATGGCCCAGTCATTCACTGCAAGGAGGGGAGCCCCACAGAGCCAGGGAGGAAGCTGATAAGAGCCTGACAATCTAATGCTTTAGAAAACATTGTAGACAAAGTTCCCAGCTGCACTCCTGTCCCCAAATTGAATTTTTCTGGAGTGCAACTGCCTCTGGCCTTGGTAATTAATCAAGTTAGGCAGTGTTCAGTGCAGATAATGCATCCCCTGCCCCAGCTCTGGCTGCTGAGGCTCCTGGTGCCCAAGAGCGACGGCAGCAAGGGGAGCCCACCCCCAACAGCCCTATTTCCAGCACAGTCACCAGTGACTCAGTTACCACGGGTCAGTGGCGACTGGTGCAGCTTTCCTCTGCACTCTCTACATCTGTCACGTCTAACATCAAACGTTCTCCCGTGTTGGCGCCAGACTTACCCCTGCAGGTCATAGAGTGTGATCGTGGGCACCGGATAGCAGGCCAGTAAAGACAAATCTGTATTCCTCGTGGGACCCCAGGAGATGCTTCCTGGTCCCCAGCGGCCACACATAGAAGCTAGTGCTCTACATGGAGCTTGCCTCTCCAGGTGCTGGGAGGAGCAAAGGCACCCAGAATACTGCGTGCCCTGAGCAGCCTGTGGGGCAGCCTCTGCCTTGTGTCCCACTTGTCCAAAGCACTGTCGCCAAGCGCTGAATGAAGCCTCAGCTTTGGAAACAGGCCCACCTGGGTCTGAGTGGAGTCCTGGCTACTTCCTGA